CTTTTATGATTTTGTCAATAAATCTTTCCTATCAAAGAGCAGTTTCTTACCTGTTTGTTAACTTCACCATCAGTGGTCCGTTCTAGGACATCAAGCCCCTCAGTAATGTCTTGCGGCGGTTCCACACATGACGCATTGACTTCATGTTCCAGCACCACGGTAGCAGGCAGACAGCAATTTTGTGAAAACACCCAAGCCAAATAAATTAGACGTGGGGTCTTATATGCCTATGCTCGGTTCCTTAACACCAGTGATTTTTTAAAGGGAAAGGTTAGCTTATACAACTAAGAAAGTTTGGAAAGATAAAGATCAAGTGAGGGTCAGAAAAAAGAGCCCATGAGGCTATAGGAAGAGAGAGTAAAGAGTCTCGGATTGCAATATTCATCTCTCAAGAGTAAGAGAGTGTGGGTGACCTTTCGGGCTAAAGATTAGTCTTACGTTCATGAAAGTAAATTTTGTGAGTGGTGACTAAAGTTATGAATTTCCTTCAATTCATCTTGATTTAGTCATTAAACTTTCTACATATAACATTATCCAATGTAGTTGTACACACAAATTTCCATTCTGAAAAAGTCAAGAACAAAAATAGTGTCAAAATTAATTAATTTATTAAATAAAAAATTTGGTACAATTCTCCGCATGATATTTTCTGTACAAGAAAATAATTTTCTGATTCGATTTACTTGAAAGCAAAAATGATCGAGGCTTGACAACTTGATCTCAAATGGAGTGATTTGACTGGTAGATCTTCAAAACGATATGTTTATGTCGTAAAGAAGCAGCATGAGTGACGTGGGCGAAAGTTTGATCACGATTAGATGAGTAAATCTTCAAAAGAACGGCCGAATGCTTGTGATTTCTTAGTTGGTTGCTTGGATTTGAGATGGCAATCTTCAAAGAAATAGTCGCCGAGAATATTTCTTTTGGAGGCTGGCCTTGAAACTTGGAAAAACAACCAACAATTTTGGAGGCTTGAGAATCTCTAAAGGAACTAGGTCTTTTTTTTCCTTGGAATTTTTTCTCAAATGGCATGGTGGGAGGAGCTCTTTATTTATAGTACTCAGTGTAAGATTATGTAATTTCTAATTATTTTCAATTAATTAGAGATAATAAAACACTCATGAATGGAATTTAATTAGATAATTCATGAGTCTTTGAATTTTGATTGATCATGTCATGCGTTTCATTTTGATCTACCAAGAAATTTTAATAAATATTCAATTAATTTACTTAATCAACTAAATATTTAATTAATTAATTAAAATATTTTTGATCGAATTTTTTATGTCTACAATAGTTTAACGGATGTCGTCCAAGTAATCACTGAAAGTGTCATGTCGCGGTATAAATAACATAACAAATCTGCAAACGTTTATTTCCTAATATAAGATATCATCATGGGAAATAAAATATTATATCCTAAAACACAGGGGATTAAGAAAACAAATTATTACTACTTAATTGGTAACGTTAATATATATTTAATTTGTGTAGCATGCTTTTGCCAGTATAACTTTTACGTTTATAATGATTATCGTCTGCCAAATATTTTCTTGTCAAGTAGTTCTATTTAGGTGCTTTTTTGTCACCGTTGGTTTCGTATAATTGTTTTGTTGTCTTTTGTCTCTGTTCCTTTTGTTCTTTACATAAGTTTTGGTCCACTTCGAAAGTCACAATTTGTACTAAGGCTGTTGTTGTAGTTGTCTTTTCTTGTGTGTGCCGGAGTAGAGTTCCCCTTCTTTTCCCACTTCCAACATTTGAAGACACATACCCAGACATAGCTCTCTCAAGTATTCTAGCTTGAACTAGGGGACAGTGTATCGTTTTGCTCCACCATAATTTGATCAATATGAAAGGGGTAAATTTAATATTTTGTTTAGGGATATTATTAGGATTGAGTGGCTAACAATGCTAATTAGAGTCGATTAAGTTGATCCAAATTTCAAAAACTTGTTAAATTCATTCAATTTTAAATTCAATTTAATTTGATAAAAAAAATCAACTTGAATGTGAAATAATTGAATTAATTTTAATTTAAAATGATTTGACAAAAATGAAATTGATGTAATTTTAAAATTTAACAATTTAGTTAAAAAAAAAAAACATGAATTCAAAATTATCCTAATTTCTTTTGACTTGAAGTGATCTGACACGTTTAACTGCTATCTCTGGTCCTAATAAAATATTTCCAAGTGTAAATAGTAAAAATGGTCCATAAAGTTTTAACAAAAAATCATATTGATCTCCAGACTATAAGAAGTCACTAGTTGGTCAAACTCATAAACTCGTAACATTTTTATTATTCTATCAATGTTTCCATCAATTGAGCCGTTGCTATACGTTGTTGTGTGACACGCACGTGGCACCTTAAGTAACAAGCATAAATAGGAATATGACACCTATAATAACTGTATCATAATTAATCAATCAAATTTTAAAATTATGTAAAATTTATTAAAATATTATATAAATTTTATTTTTATAAGTGATAGACCATCACATAACTCTTAATTATAATTAGACAATTATAATTTTATAATAAAAATAATTATAATTGAAATGCTTTTAGGCGGACATGAAACTTTCAAAATAATCCATTTAAGAAGCATTTTTAACAAAAAAATTTGAAAAACTTATTAAAAATTTAAATTCATTTATTTTAGCTATAAAATTTTATAAAATATATTAAATCTAAAAAATGCTCCCTTTTTATTTTTTTAAATTATTTATATTTTCTTTTTTCTCTCTTCCTCTCCTTTCTCCACCTCGTCGATTTGGATCCTGTCGGTGACGACGATTGAGGACCAGATCCAGTGTCACGGACCTAAGGAGTCAGGAATCCCACATCGAATATAAAAGAAAGGTCACTGAGGTATAAAAAATTTCACACCATCTCTTTCTTGTGAAGCACCTTTTGTAGGATAAAACCGTGAAGTCAAGGGGGTCAGAGCAGACAATACCTTACAAAGGTGTGAACCGTGGTGGTAGACTGATCTGAGACACCGAACGAGTGGATACCCGAGTCTCAGAGCCGCGCGGGTTTGGAGCTTAAGTCTTGACCTCTGATAAGTGATATCAGAGTCAACTCTATACTATTCGATCCACACCAAACACCTTAAGGGAGGTAAGCAGGGTGGTCAGCCTCCGTGATGAAGGCATCACGAGGTTGGGTGAGAGAGAATATCACGGACCTAAGGAAAAGTCCTGAATCTCACATCAAATATAAAAAGAGGGTCACTAGGATATAAAAGGGTTCACACCATCTCTTTCTTGTGAGGCGCCTTTTATAGGATAAAACCGTGAAGTCAGGGGGGTCAAAACGGACAATACCTCACAAGAGTGTAAATCGTAGTAGGTAGACTGATCTGGGACTCGGATAAGTGGATGCCCAAGTCCCAGAGTCACGCGGATTCGGAGTTTAAGTCTTGACCCGTAACACCGGCACTTTGCTATCGTCGGCATTTAATAGACCAACAAGAAAATGAGAGGAAGAAGAAAAGAGAAGAAAAAAAGATGAGAGAACATAGAGAAAGGGGAAAAGAAAACCAAAATAAAAATAGAAAAAAATTATGGAAACTTTTAAAATAATTTAATATATTTGATCAAATATTACAATTTAAAATAGATAAATTTTAAAATTTTTTCATTTTATTAAGTTTTTTTTTGTTTTTAAATATAATATAGATTTTAATATATTTTATTAAATAAAGTTAAATTTTCTATTTTATAATATTTTTATGTTATTTGTAAAATTTTAATATATCTGATCATATATTATAATTTAAAATAAATAAAAATTAAAAATTTTAGTTTTAATGTTTTATTTTTTAAAATATAATATAGATTTTTAAAATTCAAATTAAATAAAAAACAATTATATGTCAACTTACAATTGTCTGTCAGCAGGCAAATTTAATAAAATTATTGAAGGAATGACTATTTTGTTACTTTAGAAGAGTATCAACAAATGACTTGGGGACAATTTAATATTTAAATGAAAATTCAGGACTACTGAAACTATTTACTTTATTACTAATATTTATCTTAAAAAATGTTTATATGATTACGTGGGGAAAACACAAGAAACCAGTAATGGGACGAAACAAAATGAGGCAAATATATTACTGCTTTTTGACAAGTGAAACAATTCCTACATTTGTTTGCTTTCAAATTTTAGTCTTCAATCAGTACAATTCGGTGGGTTGATTTTAAAAAAAGTGTGTCCTCTCTCCACTTAAACGAAATTAACAAGACACTTCTTTAGAGATTAGATTTGATTCCTCTCCGACATTAAAGTATGAGCATCACTACATTTGCATTACATTCCACTCAATTAAAATAAACCTAAAATGGGTGAAAAGCAAAGGGAAAGATTTACATTGAAGAAAGCAAATTGGATTCCCCAGCACTCCTAGAAAGAAAAAAAAATTAAAAAATGAAAATTATTTCAAAAGCAGATGAAAGAACGATAATCACTGAACTAATCATTTTAGAATAATAATCCCCACCTTTTTTACCAAAAGAGTCTTAATTTTCATTTGCCAATTGTCATTCTACTTGTTTATTTTGGTCTCCTTTAAAAAAAAAAGTTAAAAGAGGTTTTTTTTTTCCACAAGCAAATTCCTGCCACCTTTTACTGTGTAAAAAAATAATAAAACTAATAATAATAATAATAATAATAATAATAATAATAACTAATACGCACACCACCTCCCATATATTTATGTCTGTCATCCATTGAAACGCCTTCCTATGAAGAGCCAAACACACCTGACATTGATCCTCTCTTCCTCTCCCTCCCTATCTCTCTCTCTCTCTCTCTCTCTCTCCAGTCTTCTCCACACACTTTTCAAAAACTGTTTTTTTTTCCTTGCTCAACAATCACCCTAAGGACCAGAAGCCAGGGAGAAGTAAAGCTAAGTACAAAGTCCTAACCCTTCTTAGCTAAATCCTTCATCATTTCCCTCAAGACAAAAGCACAGCTGAAGAGTGAAGAGTTAATGAAGATCTTCTCCATGTTAATCTTCCTCATTTTTCTCCTCTTCCCGTTCTTCTTAGCTTCTCAGTCTGCAACAATCCTGGTGGATGGTGTTTCAGAGTGGAAAAATCCCAGTGTTCATGTGGGAGACTCAATCAGTAAGTGTACTTGAAAAAGCCACCAACAAGTTTAATATTTTAGGTTTTGACTACTGATGTTACTTGTAATTCTCTGTTTAGCTACCAATACTAACATCATTCCTATGCTTTTGTGCTTAATATCTCCTCAGTTTTCAAACACAAGTATTACTACAATCTCTATATTTTCCAGAGCAAATATGCATTCAATCTCTGCAATTTCACCCAAGCTACACTTCTCACCAAACCCAACTTCACCTCCTATGCGGTATGTCACTCCATTTCTCTATCAAAATTCAACATCGTTTATTTCAGCACTATTAGCTTTAAACTACTTGTTTTGGTGTTTTCTCTGCAATTTTTTTCAATTGGCATTTCCAAGTTGGTCAAAGATTTTTTAGCTTATAATTAACTAGTCATGATAATCACTCCTTTTCTTACAAATGTTATATTTTTAGCTCCGTCCTCTGGTGGCTTTTCTTCTATTCTTCAAGGCCGAAAAGAAAAAGAAAAGTACTAATTTCCCAATCAACTATCTTTGTACAATGTGCAGTGGCACCCTTCTCGCCCTGGTTTCTTCTACTTTACTTTCAACAATGGCTCTCTCAAAGCATGCCAAGGCTTTCAAAAGCTCTCTATAAAAGTCACTCCCGCGCTGCCTCCAGAAAATGACACCACCCCATTACCCGGATTACCTCCAGCAGAGGCTCCAGCGCCCACGTCCGGTGGATCAGTTGTGTCATCTTCCCCAGAATATCTATGGCCATTCCGGCCTCGCCAAGCAGTTTCACCAGCACCAAGCGCTAGCTCACCAGTAACAGTACCAGCTCTAGTGCCAGATAAAGGTGGTGGTATTCCTTTTATCAACAGTAACCCTGCAGTTCCATTGCCTACTGGTGAAGTTGATTCTGCTACTATTGTCCCTTTGCCCACCTCTGATCATGGAGGACAGGTACAATTCTCTCTCTCTCTCTCTCTCTCTCTCTCTCTCTCTCAATGCATGGCTCCTTATATATGCTTTATCCAAACAAGGATTTGGATTTTTGTTTCTTCTAGTACTTTGAAAATACCATAGGATTTTTTTTTCCTTTTATTTAACTAGCTAGTTTGAAATAATAGTAATACCAATCATCTTGTCCCTATAATATTAATATGCTGCCTGTGAAAAATTAAAAATGTTCATGATCAACGATCATTGATCTGATATATAACTATTCGTACATGGTTTTTTTTTTTTTTTGCAATAAATAGTGTAAATCAACTGTTTCATCGTTTTCACTGGAGGCTTACCCTTGTCGCCCTGCTTAAACGCAATTATTGATAGGAACAGTGACAGCTAGTAAATCCACATGTGGTATATTTTGGGTCCTAAATATAGTAAGGATCTTTCGTTAGAATGAATATCCGTGTTAAAATTAATGACAGCTGTCTGTTTGCATAGTACTAAATTTTTAATTTTAAATATTCAAATTTTGAGAATTTTAAATATAAAAAAATATTTCCGTTAAAATTTAACACGATAATAGAGAAAATAAAAATATATATGGAGTTTAATTGTTGCATATCACTTACAAATATGTATGTTTTTTATGAAATTTTAACCACATTAATTTTAACTTTTGAAGTGATGTTTATATATCCATATATAATCTTTATTTACCTAATTCATGGGAGGGTTGTTTTGATGTGTTGGGTGGTTGCAGGCAGTGGTGGGGTTCCTTGCAGCTCCAATGGCTCTGTTTTCTGTGGCCTTCCTAGAGAGAGAATGGTTGGCCAAATTTGTTGTAAATTAGAAATATTTTAGAGGAGAATTGAGCGTAAAGTAGCTTTGATGATATATAGTAAGGTCTGGTTCTTGTAAGGTGACATTAAGGTGATGCGAACTGCCCATGCATCCAGACCCTACTTTGGAATCACAGCCACTTTTGTTCTTTAGTTTTGCCTTGCAATTGATTACTTCTACTTTTACTTTTTCCTATCCCTTCCCCACCTTTTCTTCTCATTTTTCATCTTCACCAAATTTTAATTTCATTCCCTGACCATTGCATGTTTTTCTGCCTTTCCTTTTTCCATTTTTTTTAACTATACAATTAACAAATCAATACAAATTTTTTTTTTCGGATGAGTTTAGATTAGGGATGAAAAGATTTATGTGGGGTTGGGATGAAATTTCAATTTTTATAACTTTTTTTTTCATTTATCTCCTACAACTGGAAAATGTTCTGTTCTATACACAACCTGAAAAGGTGCCGCTGCCCAAACGTCAATAATTAATATAACTTACAAATTTCTCATTGCAAAATTAATGAAATTATGGGTCCTTGCATATTAAAGCTCAAAATTGTTGCCAATAACTATGTGGTTTTGCGGTTTGTTGGTAGAAAATTGGATTTTGGTTCTAATGATTAAAGTTTAATTATTGACAATTTTAAGTAAAAAAAAATCAAAATTGTTTTTAATTTTGCACACATTTTATAGAGATTAGTATTTGATGTTCAAATTTTTTTTTTATTTATTCACGCATTTCATAAATAAAAACACGTAATTTTATTCGAATTGATTGAAATGGATTTAAATTACATTCGAACATTTTGATTATATTTATTAGGGCTAATTATTATATAATCATTAAATGATTAAAATTAAATTAAATAATTAAAAGTAAAATAATAATATAATCATAATAGTAAAAAAGTCAAATTTTTTTTGTTCAAACTCTAGTAACTGAAATCAAGCTGTTAGATAGTTTTCTCCCATTCTCTTAGAGTCACAGTGCATTCAATGCTTCGAAAATCTCCAATGAAACTCAAGCACCATTTGTCATTATCAAAATTTCACGACAAGATTTCAAGCAACCCCAAAAGTCCACAATAATCCTAGAAAATTGAGGATTTGAAATCAACCATTTCGATTGCTCTGAACCAATTGAAAAACATTGAACTGGCTAGACCACCTTTGAATATTTGACCATGTTAATTAGGAGTATTTTCGGTATTTTTTATAATTTTTTTTATTTTTTCATATTTTTTGCTCAATTTTTATAATTTTTATTTCTATTTTTTATATATTTTATTTTATTTTATTTTTGTGTGAACTTTGTTAGAAAAATAAAATAAAATTGGAAAAATGCTAAAACTTTTTCCTTAGAACAAAATTTTGAAAATATTTTGGAAAAAGTCAAAATATCATTTTTTTATAAAATATTTTTTAAAAATAAGAATTAAAAAAATTTATTTCTTAAAAAATGGCTAAGGAAAAAGTTAAAATATCAAATTTTCTTTAGAATAAAATTTTAAAAATATTTTTAAAAAAATTGAAATATCAATTTTTCTTAAATTTTTTAAGAATAAAAATAAAATAAGATAAATAAAACTGCTAAGAAAAAAGGTAAAATATTAATTTTTCCTTCAAATGAAAATTTGAAATATTTAGAGAAAATTTGAAATATCAATTTTTACTAAAATTCTTCAAGAATAAAATAAAATAAAATAAACAAAATCAATTAAGGGGAAACTTTTCTTTATAATAAATTTTAAAAACATTGTTTCAAAAAAAATTGAAATGTCAAGTTTTCCTTAAAAATAAAATATAAAATTTTGGATCTTCCAATAATAGAATTACTAGAAAGTTGCAATAGCAATTTCTACGTAATTCATAAGAAAGATATTATTCTCTAAATATTGCTAATTATAGTATTTAGAAAATTGTTTAATAAAAAATAATTTTTTAAATTTGACGTCAATAGATATCTTGAATACTTTTGAATTGAAGAAATATTCTTAAATTTCTACTAAAATATTAAAGTAATTTAATAATAATTTTCAATATTAAGTTCTTTATAAATTTCTTAAAAACTAATTTGGGAAAAGTGTTTACAAGATCAAGGGGAGCATTTTGGGATTTTTTGAAAATTTTTAAAAAATTTTTGGGTTTGATGGAATCTAAAATAATTAAAATTTTTTGGTGATCAATTGAATTTTTTGGTCACTGAAATCTGAAAATTTGGCCAAAATTTGGCCAGTTGAAGATTTCGACAATGGTGTATGATGGCAATTGGTCGAAAATATGAGAATCATAGCAATTGTTGAGTGGGAAAAAATTCTAAAGAGAGATGCTCTAGTTTTTAGAGAGAGTGTGTGTGAAAAGAAAATTTTTTAAAAAAAATTAGAATAGGGCCTTTTATAGGCCTCTCAAAATGGCCTCGTTTTGGAAATAGGAACCATGGAGCAACCCACTAATTAGTGTGCCAATTCGTGTGCTGACCCAACCAATTTGGTTAATTTTAATTTTAATTTTTTGATTTGATTTTTATTTATGTTATTTATTTAAGATTTTTTTACAATTTATGATTTATAATATTTATATTTTTTTACTAAAAATAAATAATTATCGAGAATAATAAAAAAAAGTAAAAAAGAAGGACGAAAAATAAATACTAAACTTTTGATCTAAAATAAAAGGATAAATAAAATAATAATAATATTAAGGAAAAGTGGAAAGAGTTCTATTTTTCTTTAATTTTATATAAGTAATAATATTTCTTAGATTTCACAAAAGTATTGAAATGATTTAAGAATTTATTTTTACTAAAAAACTTAATTAAAAAAGTAATTGATTATTTGAATAAATATTTTAAAATACAATTTTTAAAGAAAATTTTCAAGTTTTCAATTTTTTTAATTAATGCAAGTAAAAATATTTTTAGATTTCACCAATGAATTGGGATAATCTAAAATTTATTTTTACTAAAAAAAGATTTATTTAAATAATAAAAAAATGTTTGTTTAAATAAATCCCTTAATTATTACCATATAAATATATATATATATAAATTGGATTTTACCAAAGAGTTAAGATAATCCAAAAAGTTATTTTCACTAGATAAGGATTTATTTATATAATAAAAAATTGATGAAAATAAAAAATAAAAAATAGTAAACAATAAATAAAAAAATGTTTAATAAATCTCTTAAGTAAGAATTTTAAGAAAAAAATGAAAAAGTCTTTTTTTTTTAATTTTTACTAGAAGAAATGATTTTTTTAGGATTTCGTCAAAAATTGAAATAATTCTAAAATTAATTTGAGAAATGATTTTTTAATTTTGTCTAAGAGTCGAGATAATTTTAAAATTATTTTTAATAAATAAAAAAATATTATGACGAAATTTCAAAAATTTTGTGAATGGTCAATTTTTTCAAAATTATTTTCTAAATAAAGATTTTCTATAAATTTCACCAAAGCATTGGAGAATTTATAGAATGTGAAAATAATAATAATAATTTCACAACAAAAAAAATTTCATAAATTAATTTTAGGAAATTAATTTTAAATATTAAAAAGATCATATTGTCAAAATTAAAGGATAACACATGTTTAATTGGTATTATTCTTTGAACGGACAACGTAAGGGTTCTAATACCTTCCTTTCTCATAACCATACTCTCGAACTCTTTCTTAATTCTCGCAAACTAAAACATCTTTTAGTAAATCTTAATTAATTTTGAGATTTTAATTAAAATATGATATTTTGGGTGGCCAATCATACCTTATAAAAAAAAAGATTAATGGTGACTCCTTACTTTTACGTCTAGTGATCGAGTCTCTGAATGAAAAATCATTATGGCAGCTTAGCAACTCCATTGTGGAACATAAAGAGTTAAGCCAAAAATTAAGCATGTGTAATCCAAACTTTGATTTTATGGTCTTTTCGATATTTAATTTTAATTCCTTATCTCATTTTAGAATAAAAATAAAAATAAAAGAAAAATGTAAAATTTTGATGGCTTCATTTAGTTTTGTTATAATTAATTATGTTATTTTACTTGTCTTATATTACTGTTGTTTATATTTTTGATTTAATTTCAAACAATAATTGATATGTAAACTTACAAACGTGCACATTTGCATTCATGCATGAGCTCTATACCTAAGCTCTTAAATTTGTCCCTTTAGAAGGGAGTAGAGTACTTATGTTTTTGTGAGGTTCTAGTGCCGCCACTTGGGCTAGTGAAATGCTTCCACTAAAATTGACCATTTCTGTAGCAGTCCATTATGGGTGAAGATTAAAGGCCTTACTAGTCTAGAGTGGATAACAGTAAGGATCAATTTAGGAACTTTTTTAGCCTTTGTTAAATACCAAACCTTGCCTATAATGAACCTTAAGAACTTTGCCTAAAGAAATCAAATTAGGACTTTAGTAAAATGACATCTCTGAGTTGGTCGAGATTTGGCATCGTGTAACAACATTTAGGAAGATAGCTTTCAAGGAAAAATATGGTCATATTGCTTCACTCTTTGAGGTGTTTACAAAAAATCAACTAATAAAAGTTCTACTTTAGTTTTGAAACCTTCCTTATAGATGTTTCATGTTTAACGAGATAGATATGACCCTAACAATTGAAGAGTAGACTACATTGCTATGGTTGCATCTTTCCAATCCAAATAAAATCTATTGTCAAGGTCCCAAACTTAGATCTTGAAAGAAACTTGCTTACATGATAGAGGTTTTCACTTAAAATGTGAACTCATATATCCAAACAAAAGGCAAAAATGATTGCATCCCATGGGAAATCTTACTTGATTACATCGTCAAGCACTTAAAGGATGAATAAGGCATGAGAATGATAGCTTTGGCAATTTATGGCTTGATCATTTTCCCAAAGTTTTAGGACACATTGAGGTATCAATAAATGACTTCTCGAGCAAGTGGACAACAAAATCAATCCTATTCTTTCCATGGCAAAAACTTTTAGATCATTGAATAACTGTCAAAGAAGAGGAAGATGCTTCATAG